GGGGGGGGGGGGGGGGGGGGGGTGACCCCCAAAATGCGTTGGTATCATTTTGTCACCCTATTGTCTTTTTTGGAATCAGTCAAACACACTTCTGGACTCATGATACCCTGTTTCCCCGAATATAAGACCTACCCCGAAAATAAGACCTAGTTGTGACCATTCCCAGGGCCGATGGTGGCATAAGGGGGAACTTGAAGAGCCATGGGAGAGGCAGGAGAGAATCAGCGGTGCCAACTAAGCCAGCGCTAGAGGAAGCGAGGCAGCAGCGCAGGGAGCAGAGCCGCATAAGCCGATGCTTCCCCTATAGTGCCGGCTCCTGTCACAGGCGGAGTGATACCAAATGCACTCCGCCTGTGAGTAATCCATAGTGAATGTGCGCTTTGCTCATTCTGGCCAGCGATTGGTTAGCAAATTGCTCTTGGAAAGGTACGGCACCCATGATTGCCCTGATCACCATATTTTTGTACATGAATAAGTGGGGATTGTTGTACATTAAAAAAAAAAAAAAATAAGACCTACCCCGAAAATAAGACCTAGTGTGTTTTTATGAGCCAAAAAAAATATAAGACAGTGTCTTATTTTCGGGGAAACACGGTATGTGTCTTGGTTCTCCTTCTGGTTGGACTACACATAGACTTCCCTTTCTATAAAAAGGGTGGGCTCACAGCGGCCATATTGTCAGTGCTGGAGCTGTGAGGGAGAACTGACAATTCTGTGTAGAAAGAGACTCTGTCCCCCATAACAATATCCAGCACCCCAATGTCTTGTGTTTGACAATATCTGGCACATTAGCAGTGCAAATGAATTGAAAAACAAGATTTCCCCCCGCCCCCTTAGACTTCAATAGGGTTAGCTGCAAAGTTCAAACAGGATTTGCAAAGCTGTTGTTGTTCCAAATCCAGGCAGATTCACTCACCCCTACTGGGAATCTGCTATATATAAATAATTTTGTTTTGGGTTTTGGATATGTTTGTTTCCAAAAAATGTCCCCAGCTTAAAAGGAGAACTATGAGGTGAGTGCTTTTCACTCACCTCATAGTTCTAGCCGACCTGTGACACTGAGACTGTCACAGGTCGGCTCAGTAGATCGGGAGGTGAGCGAACACATACCGGCGTTCGCTCACCTCTCGATCCTGTCACGGCTCTCTGCCGTGACAGGGGAGGGGCTGGATTCCCCCCTGCCCGCTCCGCCAGCGCTGACTGGCGGAACGGACGGGGGAGGGGGCGGGTACAGCTGGCTCTGCCTCTAGATAGGCAGAGCCAGCTGGCACTCACGCAGCTGGGCGGATCTCGACATCGATGTCGGCATCCGCTCCGGCTGCGCCGTCTCAGTATATCGGGAGCTGTAGCGTAGGGTAACGGGAGGACGCTAGTTTGTGTCCTCCCGTTACCCTAAGGAGAACTATGGGGAAAAGCCCTGACCCCATAGTTCTCCTTTAAAGTTCACTTATTCACAATTCAGCACATGGGAATGACTCTGCGGTAGAATTATTTTGCTGTTTTTCACAATCCCTCCCTGCCTGCCAAAGGATTTCCATCGATCCAATCCTGATATTTACACAGCTCTGCCACACAGCACAACCCTGTCTGGCAGGGCAGGATCCCAGGTTTTACTCTGTTGCAGTTAAGCAACACTTACAGGTCTTGACCCTCCCCCAGCCTGTGACTGGACAGTGAGGGCCAAATCTCACCATATCCAGTGCGTCCCGGTGCAGGTCACGCCCGGAATGCACTGGATCGCATACATGAAGCCAGGCCACGCTCTGGGGCGGGAGGAAGCGCGTCGGTGCTATTCATGTAAATGGCACCTCAGACACGTCCCCGCCCACAGTGTGATCGAGCGCCCACACCGGAACGTGAGGTAAAGGAATGCCCTTTGTTCTAGTGCAGTGTGATCTGAGAAAATAGTGCATGCAGCATAATTTCAGATCGCACTGCACTGGAACGGAGGGCATCCCTGTACCTTGCGTTCCAGAGCGGGCGATCACACAGCAGGGGGCGTGTGCGGTACTGTTTACATGAATGGCACCGACACTCCCCCTCCGGCACCAGAACGCGGCTCGGCTTCATGTATGCGACCCAGCGCGCTCCGGGCGCTAACTACACCAGGACGCACTGGATATGGTGTGACCCGGCCCTGAAAGCAGAATCAGCACGGTGATGAGCTCGTCTCTTGGTCACTCAACTCTCTCCTCCTATCAGCATGTTTGTCAGCACACAAACTATGCAGCACACCTGACTGGAATCTTCTGCACGGTCTCCCTCTTCCCAGGTTGAGCTCTGCTGTACAGGGATTCTAAGAGGCTGACCAAGTCAGGGTCAGGTACTTGCACTGTTGTATTTAAACATAAATGAAAGAACACATTAATATATAGCTGCATTACTTGTGTCTTTTACACCTGGCTAGCGTTTAACCCATCACATGGCTGAACATAAAAGGTGAACTAGAGACCCCTTTAAGTATACAGTCATAGCTGTCAGAGGAGAGGCGGAAGTCCCTGCTGGATGCCGGGTATTTATTCCAGGGAACAGACGGCCCTTCTGATCCACACAGGAGGCATCGGAGCCCACGACAGCTTTTTAAATGTCACCACAATGACAGTGACAAACACATGTCACCGTGCTGCGTGTGGGATCACAAGTCTCCGGTTTAACCTCTTCGCTCTCAGCTCGTGAACGATGGGACAGGTTCCCCTTCTAAGGAAGAACTCCGCTGAGCGCTCTCTGCATCTAATACCATCATTCCGCTGCATTGTGACAAAGCCATTTCTTGCACTAATGTAGCACTTGCTATAGATAGAGGAACGGGGTGAAAGGATTCAAAAAGTTGCCCCCTGTGTGTGACCAATCAGCTCTACTTACTGAAAAACCATGTGATACAAAAAGATCCTATTCAATAGCAATATTTGGTCCAAAAATTGGGGATTGTCTACGGAATGATGTTCAAAAACTACATATATGTTTTTATTTACTAGAACTCTAACATTGTAAATTAAAAAAGTTTTGGGATATTGAATGACTGCACATATGGGGCCATTACATTGTAATATAGTATATAGTAGAACATTAAGGATGCATCCACTCGCTTAAATCCTCATTTCTGGGCTTTCTTGTTCTATTATATTGACAGAAAGTTCTTAGACAAGAACGCAGTTGCCCTCGCAGGGGTTCTTCAACATTTCTCTTCACAAACAAACCTATATTAGACCTCCTGGCCTTGCTCTTGAAGCACTGCTGCTCTTGGCTCAGGTCCCTTGTCTGTGTCCTCCAGACAGTCTCAATGCCATGCTAGTCTGCACACTTAGTTCCCAATTTGCAGCTCCCTGCTGTATGGACTCCACTTTATTAGACCCCTAATGTCTCCCCTGCCCTCCAATGCAGATGATCAAGCACAGGCTTGTGCCTGATCGTTTATTTGGCACTGCAGCCGAGCTGCTGAGAGCCCTGAAGTAAGAAGCGCTGGGATCACAGCACTCCCTGCATCAGTGATCATGGAGAAGATTGGGGAACGGACATCACAAGTGGGTACAAGAGATTGGGCAGCTCTACAGCCACCCAGATCACTTGGGCATTGAAGTGCTCCACTTGCAGTAGCAGCAGCTATGATCTTGGCATAACCACTTCAAGACAAAGGCATATATACACAAACAGTGGTCCTGAAGTGGGTGAAGGTCCAACTTTTTGACTGTTTTTCAAAAATTCTCTATGGAACTGGGATGTTGGTACTCACTGGTGTGAGTTAAATAGTGGGGTTTATAATCAGATCCTCAGATCTTTATTGTTTTGGTTGGGGAAGCTGGATACTGAACTAGAACCCCCCCCCATAAAGCAGATCTGATGGACTTCCTGGTGAATGTCCAGCCTTCAGAAGATTATTGTATGTTCTATGCTGTGGGACAGAAGATTAGATTGAATGAGGGAAGAGCTGTGGGGGGCTGTGAGAAAACAATCCCCCTACCGGAGCCTGTAAGCCGGAGCTAAAAGCCACCAATGACTGCAAATTAACTGGCAGCCAACAGAGACCCCCCCCCCCCCCACCTGTCCATCACTGCCGAGTACTAACTGCGGGCATCATAGTGTTCATGAAAGAATCACATCCGTTACCAGGAAATCAGACCGATTGTGACTGTATCAGGGGCACCGGGTGCTGGAACTTGCCAAAGCCATGTTGCAATTCCACAATGCAATGTGGTCACCTCAAGAGTTTGCTGTGGTCACCACCATGCATGGTGGAATGTTGGGGAGGTCATACAATTGGCAATAAAGGTCCAGATGCCACTATTACCAACAACATTATTCAAGCACCAATGAGAGACTTTTAGGATGATAAAACCTCTTCAATCTGCTAACGCAATAATTGTATAAGTGGGATAAAACGTAGGGGCATTCGATAGAAGAATACGGATGTATTTATCAATTTTGACCACCGATACCATTTAACAAAACCCCTGTTCTGTAGTTGACAAAAGTTAATGTTTTCCTATTTTTTAATTGATCATTATTTCTGATAATACTGTAATAGTATCTGACAATTACACGTATTAACACATGGCACTGCAGATGCCACCACACCTAGATAGGTGCCAATTTTCAGCCTGAAGGCTTTCATGCCCCTTTAGGCTCTTATTGAAGCATCATAACTACATGTCATCCTAACTGACAATAGTAGTCACATGATTGGAAAACTACCACTGATTGGTTCCAGATCATCAATGGTGCCTGAACTGTTACTGACAGCCAAGATGGTCACCAGCCGTGGAAGGGATTGAAAGAGAACTTAAAAAGGCCCATTTATAAAGAATGCTATTTGTATTGTAGAATGTATTCTGCTGACCTAGAACAAACAGAAGAAGGTCATCTGACTTATCTCCCTTTCCTGATCTGCATCACCATAGAGTAGTTGAGTTCTGTGCTTCACTCCACAGTGACCAGTGTAGCTTGTAATCACATCAACGGACTATGTCGTGCAATACCAGAGTAGAGGAGGAGATGTCACCAAGACACAACTGAAGATCATGAAATAAAATGGTTGTATTTGTATTACATCACATAGGTCAGGAACAGCCAATGTTGCAGGGCCTTGCAGGGTCCCTACCTCAAATGACGTCACCACTTCGAGGCCCAGAAACGTTCTTCCTACTCTATGTGCCCTGATACAAATAAATCCACTTCAATTTTTGAACTTTAACAGAGTGCTGAAGACCTCATTTCTTACCCTCACTACTGATCTGCAGGACTGTCTCAGGTCATGGACTCAGAGCTGCACGGCTGTCTCCGGAGATGGACTCAGAGCCGCACGGCTCAGATAGAAGCAAAGAGTGAGAGTCGCCTGAACAGCCAGGAATCTAGCTTTATCACAAGGTAGTCAGTATGGCAGCCTCCATTCTTTCCTCCTGACATGTCTACGTTACCAGCATTCAATTCATCTTAGGTGACGTACCTGCCAGAAGACAGTGGAAGAAAGGGTCTGGTTTGGCAGCAGAAGACCCACAACCTGCAGAGAGAAAAAGACACAGTGAGAATTGGGTCACATTGAGAAATATGGAAGCCCGTGTTTTCCTTTGTGCGGCCTACGATTCTTGAAGAACCTTGGTGAACATCTGATGGTTATCCTCTTGCAACCTTATTGCCTCCATAACAATACAAACATATACCATGTTGTCCCAGGAGATCATCAATCTACCATCTGAGCAGTTCAAACAACTTTAAACAATACCATCAAGGCGACTTCCATGCGTCTACCAACCATGGGTGCCATGCATGATATGAGGTCCACGTCCAAAACCACCAACATATGAAATTCAGGCCACACACCAGTATGCTTTTCTCTTCAATAGCAATAAACTTTAAATAACACAGCTACATGAACATCTTTGCATCATTACTACCACCAGATGTGGCTCCTCTGCTGATGCGTTTCACCCTCAGTCAATGCTCCATCATAGGGATCCCTACAGTCAAGTCCTAATTAAGGGCAACATGTGTCAGAAAGGAGTCAAGTCCAGAGGGAGGAACGATGCATGAAAGTCCATGTTAATAAAGTTTATTGAAGAAAAGAATATAGAGGTGTGAAGCTTGAACTTTGTGGTGACCATCTGAGCATCCTTGGTAAAAGTAGCTCCACCTGATTATTATAAATGAGCTTCGGATTGACACCAGTGTGTTGAATCACCTATAAGATTCTCGCATCTCTTGGAGACTCAAATGATGACATTTCTGGCAATAGGTCATCTCTCCATCTCCTCAACCAAGGCAGAAACAGGTGTAATGGTGGAGAAAACTCTCAGGCTTCTACCCTACGTCACCTGGTTTATATCTACCAAAAGCACTGTGTGCGTTACATGTCCTTAGAGACTGCAGATTCTATGGTATTGACCCAGTGAGATATGACAATAAGACGAGAGGATCAGCAGGTACAGTCACTGTGCAGCACTACTAAGCAGGAGCAGAACCCGTATATGTAATGAGGAAATATGTCTGCCACCATGTACATATATGAATAAACTGTATATAAGACATGCTTCATACATTGACCAACATAAATAACAATTAACATTAACTGCACCACTTTAATTAATTTTAAAAAACAAACAATTTTTTAAAATTTTGCATTCATTTAAAGAGAACCGCACTGCATCTTACCAACCCAAATGAATACAGTGCAGTGCCTAGACTGCTGTGAACTCTGGTGTGGCCAGAGTGCCATCTGGGGCCGCTGTTTGCTCCTGAGAGGGGAAAGTTACATTCAGTCGTCACCAGGAAGCATGGAGCTGGCTTGCCAGCCAATCAGGAAGCTGGGCGGCGAGCCATTACCCACCCACCAGCTTCCTGATTGGCCAGAAAGCCAGCTCCTTGGCCAATCAGGAAGCTGGCCAATCCAGAAAGCCGGCTCCATGCTTCCCAGCTAATCAAGAAGCTGGGCGGCAAATCATTACAGACCGCCCTGCTTCCTTAATGGGATTTCCAGTATCGGTATTCTAGATCGGCGAGTACCAGACAAAAAAATATTGGCACCCGTGCTTGATACCAAAAAAAGGATATTGGTGCATCCATAATAATAATAATACTACTACAATAAAATAAATAATAATAATACAAAATAATAATGGGATGTGGAAGTGGCGGGCAGGGGGCTGTACATAGCTTCCTGAAATCATCACAGCCCCCTGCCTCATTACTTCTCTCAGGAGCCCTCAGTCCTAAAGCAAGAAGTGGGCTGGCTCTTGGGAGGAGTTATGCAAATATCAAAATGCCTTGAAGGGTGGGGTCAGTCTGCAGGAGTGGACATAGCTAGGCAGACGGCTCTGGGTAATGCCTACACGTGATGCTGATCCTCCATGATTGAACATATTGAAGTCTAAAGGTGCCCACACACCTTACAATTTATCTGCAGATTGTCTATGGTCAGATGGAAAAAGTGCAACAGATTGGCCCAGCTGGAGATTACTCCATCCACACAGCTAAGTGTAGATGGAGGAATCTGTTGCACCTTTTCCATCTGACCATAGACAATCTGCAGATAAATTGTAAGGTGTGTGGGCAGCTTAATGAATGAAAGAGGCGGGCCAGGGACAGTCAGGCTGGGGAGGAATAAGATAAATGACAATGGACGTCCTCCATTGTCATTTATTTCTTTCCTCCAATGAGGCGGGCCCTATCTGACTTGCTGTAGCTTCTAATGCACATTGTGAGAAGCTCGCAGTATGCAGTGACATCACAGCAAGTAATTTCAGCCCAGGACAGGAGTCGATACAACTGCACAAGCCTGAAAGGAAGGTCAGAGTTCAGCTTTAAAGGATTTTTTTTCTCACGGTGCATTAGCTGCAAATTAGGAGGACAAATCACCTGTGACAATTTTCCGGTGGCTGTGATTCTGTCCTCGGCTATTATACTATTACAGGATGATAATGAGAGGTTAGCCGGGGAAGATGCTACAACCCGGGCCCTCTGTCAGCCTGGAAGGGCAGCCTGCATATCAGGAGCACATCGCTGCAGGGAACGGTTAACTTGTTGGAAGTTAATTAACCTGCAAAACCATCTTCACCGTCTCTGCACAATGCCCCCCCCCCCCCACCAGGCACCAGAGGCTCCCACCTTACACATGTCAGGGGAGGCACACACAAAGACTGATCACATATCTGCCGGGGTACTTTTACTTTCTATTTTCTCTTCCGCATAGGATTACACAATGGAAGGACGGCGCACATCCAACTGCTATTCTGAAACAGCCCGTCAGTCTTTCCTCCATCTTTAAATCTGAACACAGGGATCAGCAACTACAGTCCTCATACAAGAGTCATGTGACTTCTGCCTGGAATCTTAGTGAGCTTTGCGTATTTCTTCCAGATCTGTGCTGCAATCCAGTGTGAGACTTGGAGCTTCCTGTAATAAAGACCGCTCAGTGCTGCTCTCTCTCCTTGTACACAGTGACTGGTCTCGTCTCCACCCCCTCCTGTAATAAAGACCAGTCACTGCTGCTCTCTCTCCTTGTACACAGTGACTGGTCTCGTCTCCGCCCCCTCCTGTAATAAAGACCAGTCACTGCTGCTCTCTCTCCTTGTACACAGTGACTGGTCTCGTCTCCGCCCCCTCCTGTAATAAAGACCAGTCACTGCTGCTCTCTCTCCTTGTACACAGTGACTGGTCTCGTCTCCGCCCCCTCCTGTAATAAAGACCAGTCACTGCTGCTCTCTCTCCTTGTGCAGTGTCACTGGTCTCGCCCCTCCTGTAAGTCAAAAGTCCATGTATCCCATCGCACTCCTGACCGGAAAATTCCCAATATAACAGGGCGGGTGCAACAGCAACAACGGATGCCTCCGTCAAAACGTATAAAAATTGATAAAGTCACCGGCACGCCAAGTAAATAAGTCAATAAGGTTTTAAGTGATAACACCTCAGGCAACGTTTCGGGACCATGCGGCTGTTTCATGACAAGGGAGCATGGAGCCGGCTTCCCGCCTAATCAGGAAGCAAGGCACTGCGTCATTACACGGCGCCTGGCTTCCTGATTGGCCAGAAAGCTGGCTCCATGCTTTCTCCTCCTCTAGTGACAAGAAGCATGGAGAAGGCTTCCTTGCTAAATCGGGAAGCCGGGTGGCGAGTCTTCACAGACCGCCTGGCTTTCTCGCTAATCAGGAAGCCAGGTGGAGCGTCATAGCACGCCACCTGGCTTCCTTAATGGGACTTCCGGTATCGGTATTCGGTATCGGCGAGTACCAAAAAAAGAAAAAAAAAAGTGGTACTCAATACCGACAAACCGGTATCGGTGCATCCCTAATTTATATGTTCATTCCCTCCAGTGTTCTCTTGAATGGTAGCATTGTATCTTGTTACTATGTATTCATTTCCTTTGATCCTCAGCGCCTCCTAGTGGCCATAGTCTGGTATTGTCTCGGTTTACTCTGCTCTTTATGAATGAACCTATTGAAGAACATTCGACCAGAAGAGATACTAAACTAAGAACATTTAGATTTTTGCCCCTTTCTCACAAAAGCTGGTTAACTCGCACATAATGAATGTACCTGCAGTACCCCTGGATGTTTTTTTTCCTAAATAGACCCCTAAGTGTGTAATTAATTTCAGGTAAACGTTACAATAACGGCTCACGTGGAAAATACGAGACAGATTAAAAGGCGCCCCCATCTCGGCAGGCTGGGACCTACATATCTGGGAGCGATGTATCTACTAATTAGAGGTGAACTGTATGAATGACGGGGCTTGTTGACAGAGCAGTTTAAAGAGCATTAAGGGAGAGCGAGAGGTGTTTCTACCTGTCCATTAATACATCATACTTAGGAGGAAAGCGGTCTTCATTAGACGGGAGGTTAGAAGGCAAAGTGAAGGTTCTCTTTCAGCTCTGAGTCATCTTTACTAAGTGACCTCCAGGCTTCAACACCCTTTGAAAATAGAGGCAATTGAAGTGAGCTGCGGGGAGGACATTATCTTGTAGAAGAGTGATGATGGGACTGGTTAAAGAGGGTCAGATTGTGCCCGGGAGGCACACAGCTGTACTGCCATCTCTCGGCATCCTGCGCCCTGGGGCAAAGCTGACCTGTCTTCTAGGCCCGGGCCAGGCCATGCCGTGTTTACAGCCTAAGCCCCGTGTTCGCTTCTCGTGCTGCTGGAATGTCGTTTCCTTAACGCAGAACAGTTCAAAGGGAAGCCTGAGACTAATGAGGCCGCTTGTCTTCAGCAGCCATAAAACTGTCCGGGGAGACAGATCCCTCCAGGAAATGAGTGCTAACATGAAGACTGCCAAGTGTCATCCAGATCTGTCAGAGAGGCATAAATACTGCGCCTCACCTCGCTTCGAATATGTTTTTTTTTTTAAATCACGCTACATTATCCGGCAACAAGACAAAAACATTTTTTTTACAAAATGTTTTTTTTAATTTTTGGTCAGGTCAGTATAAAAAAGTGCATGCAAATATGTAGAGTTCTCTGAGCCAGGAGGTGAAACTCTTGGCTTGTTTTTACATTTTTCCAGCCTATACTTATCTACTGTGATGAAAAGAAAGTTGTTTACGAAGCTCAGTAGCTTAAAGTGACATTAAACCCTCAGATTTTTTTAACATAAAACAATACTGTAATGTGTACTATACTGTAATCCATGGTAGTTTCCCTTCTCTTTGCTGCTCTTCCTTTTAAATCCTCATGTCTTCTCATGCTGGGGGAGAACTTCCCTTTGCAGCCGAGTGCCTCTTCCTGTAGTGCTGGCCCAGGTTGTGAACCTATACACAGACACCATGTAGCCATTCCAGAGACAAGGCAGTCTGCTGCAAAACAGAAGTTCTGCCCAGCATGATAACAGATACAGATTTAAAAGGAAGAGCAGCAAAGAGAAGGGAAACTACCATGGATTACAGTAAGGCGCACATTACAGTATTGTTTTATGTTAAAAAATCTGAGGGTTTAATGTGACTTTAAGCTGAAATGTATTTTATTTATTACAGGTATTTATATACTGCCTGCAATTTACACAGCACTATAATTAGTACGCATTCACATCAGTCTTGCATACATATAGGGCCAATTCGGACAGGAGCAAATTAACCTTCCAGGATGTCTTTGGAGTGTGGGAGGAAACTAGAGTACCCAGCAGAAACCCATGCAAGCGCAGGGAGAACATGCAAACTCCTTGCCGAGGAGTCCTGGCCAGGATTTGAAACGGGAACCTGCAGTGCTGCAAAGTGGAAGCGCTAACCACTGAGACACTGTGCTGCCCATACATTTATACATCTAAAACCCGGAAGCCCAAATCCGGCATACATTTATATTTCCTAAAAATGCCTCCTAACCTGCATAAAAAAGAAAGAAAGCTTGGGTTGCAATACTGAACCTCAATCCAGAGCAGTCCTATCTTCTTCTCATCATGTCAGCAATACATTATACAGCAATGCAGAATAATATTATGAAGCTACATATTCTGTGTTGCTCAGGGGTGGCGGCCTGATGTCTCCAGCAAGGCTGTGAGGGGTCTCAGGAGGGCTGTGGAGGGTCCCAGATCTCAGGAGGGCCATGCAGGGTCTCTGGAGGGCGGCGCAGGGTCTCACGTGGTCTGTGCGGGGTCTCACCAGGGGTCTGGAGGGTGTCGTGGGCAGCGGAAGCGTTGTAAGCAGCGCTGCTTGGTTTCCCTGGAAGGAGCAGGAGATTTGCGGCCGGCACTGTAAACAGGTGCCACAATTCACAGTAAGGCTGCCGCGGGATCTCAGGAAGCCGCTTCAGTTTAGAAATATAAAATGCCGGCATTGGAGTTTAGTATCAGGGCATCGCGGCACTGATACCTGTATTGGCATCAATGCATCCGTATAAAAAAGTTCTATTTACCAGATCCTCTGTGCCGGCTTGCTCTTAGACCAGTCCTTCCAGCCTCACACCCCCTGTCCTGCAGCAGCCTAAGGCTCCTTGAGCCCTCACATTCTATACACAGTGTATAAGAGGTGAGGACCCCAAGGGGAAACCCATTGCTGCAGTGGAGGAGGAGACAGGCAGGAGAGAGCGCTGTCACAGCTGGCCGGCTCAGAGGAAACGGTGAGTATATCTTTGTTAGTTTCCTCCCTAGACAAAAATGAGCACTTAACCCTTCAGGTGCAAAGATAGCCTCACCGCAAGTGTCAATACAATTTTTGCCTGGAGTTCTTCTTTAAGAAGCTCTCACTGACCTCTGTAGTTGCATGTGCTCTGGAGTGATTCATTCTAAAAAAAGAAAGCCTGTTTTTTAAACTTTCATTTGGCTTGGCTCATTCTGCTCCCCCTCCCAGCAGTAAGTTGGCAGCCTGTCAGCCTTGTTATCTCTAATGCATGTATGTCAAACACACGGCCCACAGACAATTTCCCGGCAGCCCGCTGAGGTCTACCAGCCCCAACTAGAGGAGCAGACTTAGCAGGTTGTATGGAAGGTACCTCCGGCTGCGTAGAGGTGGTGGACAGGAGCCGATTGCAGCATCAGGGCCCCAATCGGGTAGTACCTGCCCACCACCCATGAAAAATCGAGAGAGTTTTACCCCATGTGTGGCGCTTGTCAGAGGTAAGGGGAAAATGCGGGAGAGAGAGAGGCAGTACTTGGTGGGTACACCGGTTATCACTTGTGGTGTGGTAGGTATAGATAAGGGGGGGAGGGGGTAGTTGCGTAGGTGTGCGGCTTCCGTTCTGTCTGGACCGGGGTGTCCAACAAGTGTGCTGTAGGGAAACAAAAAATTCGAGACGGAAGCGCCACTACCTGGCGCAATAAATGTGGTAGAGCAGGGTGTAAGCGTTAGTGATGTACTCATCTAAGGCTGGGTGAGCATTCGCTTGTAATCGTCGGGTTGCGGTGAAGCGGATGGGGTGGAGTAGTAGTGGGAGTGGTCCCTCTTTTAAGGCAGATGGAGACACAAAAGCGAGGGGATGAAGTATGCAATGGTGGGTGAAGAAGGGGTGGGCTTCTGTAACTCACCGTGGGGATAGTGGAGGGCGGCTCTCAGCGATGACGGTGCGGTCAGTGTCATGCCTGGGCGGTGGGCTGTGGGGTGGTCCTCAGAACAACTGTCACCACTGCCAGGTCTGCCCACCACCATCCATTGGGGTAGGCTACAGACAGGCAGTGGGTGGAGAGTGCGGCACAGAAGTGCTCCTGATGCACAAACATTCTTGTTTAGGGCAAGGGAGCAAGGAGTGGGAGGTTGCGGCTGCGGCTGGCTTATTCCAAGGCAAGTAGAACAACTGGACCCCCCTGGTCCTATTAGGGGTGACTGAACCTGCCATATTGACCTTCGATTGTTCCTCAATCCGTCTCTATCTTCTAATGTTTATAGGAACCAATGCACACTCTCCCCAATCACTGGCCCCATGCTGATGAGCCCTCGTGGGCTGGAACAGTACTGTCTGACGTTCTTCTGCAGCAAAGACTACTGTAATAGGAATCTCTACCTTTGTTGCAGTGCAGGGAATGGCTGTAATTTTACCACGAGCGCAGTGCAGATTCTGGGAAAAGCAGGGATTCAATGACAGATTGTGGGGAACGCAAATAAAAGGAAATCCGGTCTATAAAAAGAAGAGAGGTCACCGAGAGCAGTCACAAAGCCGGAACCTGCAACCATCTTCCCCTCCAACTGGCTGACAATTGTGGACTATTATACAGACATATGGGGGCTGCCACTGATGATCTCCAGAACAGCTTAGTGGCCTAGTTGACCGTCTGCCTTCAATACTTCACGAGTCACTGACCTGAGCCAAGTGTGTAGATCATAAAAGTCAGAAGTTCTCTTCTTCAAGCTTGTTCTGGGTTTAGTGACTCAAAGTACTGAAGCCAGAGGATCAGCAGAACGGCCAGGAACTAGAGGGTGAGGAGTCAGCAATGGCAGCCTCCAATCTTCTTAGTAAAGGTTTCCATTCAATACCTTGCTTCTGTGTACAGCTGGTTTGTATATGAGAGCATATGCCAAGTCAGGGGTGGGCAACTCCGGCACTCCAGCTGTGGTGGCACTACAAGTCCCATGAGGCATTGCAAGACTCTGACAGACACAGGCATGACTTCCAGAGGCAGAAGGATTATGGGATTTGTAGTTAAGGCACAGCTGGAGGGCAAAAAGTTGCCCACTCCTGTGCTAAGTAGTGCTGTATCTTTTACTTCTCTTATCCCCCTGCATGTCTACCAGCCGTGGTCTGCAGTCTCCAAGTACATGAAATGGCCACAATGCTCCTGGTAGCTAGAGACAGCGTGATATTGCCTAGACTCGGTATTGACGAG